CAAATCTGTATCCGAATTGTTAAATGGCTATTTAGTATTAACAACACTTATTAATAATTATTTCAAACACAATCCCGATATTCCAAACTCCACACTGATGTTCTCAAGATGTTAAGCCGGGCATTGAACCCAGTCTCGAGCGGACACTAGTATTTCTCACACCCGAGTTTAGAAATACTATCAAAACTGTCTCGGACTTGTTCGATTCCGAATGGCTAGCGGCCCGACACATCTCCGATAGTTTCATAAACTGCAAGTAGGTGTGTACGCATGGGATTGGCGTATTGGGTTACTTCATTCATTAATTTAAACACCAGAGTTCTCTTTTCAGAAGACTTGAGTCCGTCCAACATCGGGTTACTAAGACACTTGTTTCACTATGTTTGTTCATGTACTATGGATACCAAGTTTCTCATTCTTTGTTTTCTTACGCAAGGGCAGAGTGTGGAAGTGTGAAGATCTCTTTACAGCTCTCACTCCACCTGCGCCTGAGAACAAACATCAACACGCCGTGGGTGCTATGGCTGCTGGCCATGTATTATATCAGTTCTACAGGTAGGTAAAAGGATGGCTGAACCTTGGAACAACCTGCGATGAATCAGCATGGACTCTGTAGCGCTACACTGTATAATCCACCATAAAGCACTTTATATGCAGCAGTCGTTGTGACAAATTATGGAATTTGGGGAGAGGTGGCTTGTCATGGTTCATTTTTTAATAAGAACACTGTAATAGAACTTGAAGGTAATGTCCGGATTACATCTATTCAGTCCTGGAAGCACGTCGTAGATTTACGGCATGTAAAAGCATGAACGAGATGTTTCGTAAGCAAAATTCAGCGCCCATTTCTCACCCAAATCTCTCCTGATTCACTACTAGATGGCTCTAGCACACAAATCTATATTGTGTAGAAATTGTGCAGAAGCAGTGGGCTTGTCACTCACTAATCACAGATGTGTAAGAGGAAGCCAAGGCCCGGACTCGGGCTGTAGCTACTTGCAAATTACGTTTGAACGGTAAGTACAGACCAATAAATTTCCTGTGGGTGTTTAAATACCAACTGCAAATTATCTGGCATCCGCAGGTAACGATCAGAAAGCAGCCTGTAGACCTACAACTTGGCAGCGGTAAGTAAAGACCTGCAAATTTGAGGTTCTCACGAAGGTGAAGATATCAATGTTGGTGTTGTGGGTTTGAAATGCCGAGTGGACATGTTGAACAGGTTAAAATGGACTAGACATTTAACACAGATCTAAAAAAACAACAACATACAACTACGCTGAATATGGAAGCGATACGTTCCTCCGAAATGTTGGTAACCACCTACAAGAACACGGCTCATAATCTGAAGGCCCGCAAACCATCTCTAAAATATAACTACCACTGTGATTAGGCAGTTTGGAAACACAGCACGATGGCTGCACTAGCCCGGCGGCAGCCGGACGGTCATTACTACGACGCTTAACCTTGGAAACCCGCAGCTCGCCTGCCACCACTCCACCCCACTTTTGAAACTAGGAAAGGGCCGGAGCACAAAGGATAGCAACGCTAGAAGCAGTCTTACTGAGAACCGCCTTTCGAAATGTTGCTGCTAAGAGGCCAAGGGACATAAAATATCATGTCACGTTAGGTTTCGTGGGACCAGCAACTTTACCAGGGGAGGAAACGAACCTAACAGCAACCAGAGCACACACTTTAATCGCCGATTCTCACTTTCAATACGTAGCTCGATGTTCCCCCAACCTCCTTTTTCGTCGATTCTCCATAGCATTCAATTATAAGTGAATGCTAAGAGAAATGGAATCAAATGATATCTTAACCAAATAACAAAGTAAAAAGTTACGCACGGTTTATGTACACACTAACATTGAAGTCAATGTACAAACTAACCAGAATGCTGCTTTTTGAGTAGCACACGTGAAAGAATTTTTTTAGTTGTTGAACATTTCCAACGTAAATCTCGTTTAATTTTTTCACAGCAGGCCTATGTTCTTATCATTTCCCGGCTCTTCTATACCGAATTTTATCCCAAAACTAGTAACAATCACGTGCATTTCACGATAAAACTGCTGTTTAACCTACTTTCCTTAACTTTAAGGAAATAAGCATGTGGTATCACCTTGTCCGTGTGTCTAATTGGCACATACTAAAGGCATCACATCTCTACTTTCCAAGTTCCTACCATCAATCCTTCCAACGTGGCGACTGTCCGACTTTCTGATCAAAAATTGCGTTCGGTAACAAACATTCGACAAATACACATCTTCTGTTCAGGAAATACGAGTTAAGAAAGCGGGCGTTAATATGTCCTTGCTACAACTTGTCTGCTAGTAAAAGGATACACAAGCAATGGAGTGAGTACTGACAGATGAATCACATTTTTCTTTCGTAGCGAAGTCCAGACAAGCTCTTCCAGCCTCCTACCGTAGGGAGGGAACTTTCCCGGCAGATAAGTGGCCGTGGCGTGAACCTGACCAATCGTCTCCATCTACTTCCAGTGACAGGATTAAGAATGGGTGCAGGTAGAACTAGCTTCTCCGTACGTCTTCATTCAGTCTTGGTGTATACATAAACACATGGTGAATTCTACTCTTGTCACAATACAAGAAATGCGACGCTATCAGACAGGTTTTTCTGAACCTGCTGCAATGGAAGACACACAGTCAATATTTCGTTCTTCATTCCACGAAAGAACTTTGAAAACAGAACTGGTCACCCGAAATGCTGACTACCTTGGCAACTCTCAACTTTCAAAGCTAAGAAGATTTTGCCGTCACTAGCAATTAATCCACACACAAAAAAAAAATCACGCCTCGTCTTTTGTTTTCCGTAAATTGATTTCTGCCGGATCGCCTCTTTCAGTAGCCGTCGATGGTTCGTTGGCTGCTTCGGAATATAAGCTATCGGTATCACAGAGATTGGCAGCCTGCTGCACCCCTCCTCCCTTACTCTGTCTGTCTATTGTAGTCTTCGTGCGAAGTAGTGAAGATTGGACCAGTTTTATTTCTTTCAAAGCGAATGAGAAGCTTTTAGAATCATTTCAGCTGAATCACCATGGGGGGAATTGGAGCTATTTAGACCCACAACAATACTGGCTGTCATTTTCTGCTATTTCGATTCATACACGCCAGGATCTGATGATGCATCAATTATTTTCCCCCTCCCCCCTTCACGGACACACAAATCTTTTGTGCTGCGGCTAGGCTGAACATCCAAGCATCCTTAGTCATAAAGAAGTAACGATAACACAGGCAAATAAACTGAACAAATAAAAGTTTACGACATCACAATCTCTCTGAACTATTTTCTTAAGAATATGCGGATGAAGACTCTTTACGGCCAATTAACAGTATCTGCATTGTACCGTGTTATCAGCAGTGTTTCAGATAAAACGGAACTTCCATTAGCGAGACCAAAGGACATGGGAATAAAAACGCGCGAGGTTGCCTATCCCTAACTAGGATTTGACGTTCTCACGGCGTCGATTACGAATATGGCTGTCTTCTGGGTTGTAGCGCCGAAATTTAAAAAGCGGCCTCTAACGCCAAGCTGTTCATACGCGTATTCATCCTAAAAATAATGAGGGTGGGAAAAACTCATTGTGGCAAACGTTCCTGGCATATTTAATAAAATGATCAGAAAACAAGAAGCCAAACTCGGTAAGGGAATGAGAAATCTGCGCCAAAGTTATGGGTCTCTGCAATGCGAACAAAGATGGCACTCCGCCTGCTGTCGCTCTGTCATGATTCAACAATTTATGATCTGGCTTGGCTGATCACGAAAGTATCCATCCTGACCAATGGATGGCTTCAAAGTCGACCTAATCTCCGATTCTAAAACGTGATTCAATTCTTCCTCTTTAGCCACCTGTTTCCAAGCACAACGAAAACAGCAGTAGTCCAGCTACAAGGGCAATCGCCTCCAATAAAAACAGTTTTCGTGATCGATATGACATTCGATGCTGAAATCTGACGATCGTCCGTGGCGGCTCAGACATACGCCGATGCCACTCAGTGGCAGTGAACGGACTTCGACCGCTCGATCGCAGGAATCGTGGGTTTCGGTTCCATTCGGTGTATCAATGTGGTCCACGCGTTTCTGTTGCTCTGTGCAACAATTCCAAATGAAACAGAAAAATTCTACAGAATAGTAGTTAAGTACTCACGACGAAAGAAAAAGTACCAGAACAAAGATAGAATGGGAGAAACCTGACATGCACAATGTGGTCGCCATTTGCTCTCACATTTTATTCGTTTCATTATATTAATTTTCTAGCATCAATGTTGAGCCGAACTTGGGCCAAATAAACAAATTGAGCCCGTGCCATAAGCCCAGACTGTTAGACGCCGGCTTCTTCTCAACGCGGAGACACGGGTTTAATCCCAGACGACTTCAAGTGAGATTCGTGATGTACAAAGTAGCACTGGAGCTAGGCTTTCTCCGAGTTCTTTGCTAATTAACCATCATTCTGCCACTGCGCCATAAAATTAGCGATAACCCTGATCAAGCAGTAATCTATCACACACCCTCGATCCTGATTTAGGGGCTTCAATGCCCATAACAATGGGTCTGAAACAGGGTGGGAGAGTGAATTGAGTCGGGGTATGGACCAGTGGCTGGACGTCGTAAACATGACAAGAAACCTTCCCATTCAAACGGCGATGAGTTTCTTAGATGTACGTCTGTCGACTTCTTAAGAAGTACATGCAGGTCGGTCTACAAACCTCCGTAGTTAAGAGTTCGTACGATCTTGGGCCGATCAGTTACTGGAATAGGAGGTCTGAATTCCACTTGGGGGATTGATGCGAGTCACCTTTGTAACACGTTGTCGGCCTATTGTGCTACTTCGGCCTAACGACGGACCTATCCGCCATGGGGGCGGCCTTTCCAAATGTCCAGAGCACCCAGAATTTAAAAAAAGATAATTATAAATCTGCACAGGATAGAGGGCCCAATCCGAAACAAAAAATATGAAATAATAACAATGGAATTTTACTTACCAAACTGGACGTACATCTTTGGGCTAACATCATGCACCCATGCGGCCGTTTGGAGCACTACCAGCAACAATGCAGCAATCTGGCCGAACCCCGGCCGCAACACGGCAGCATGTTTCAGCAACATGGCGCCCAAGCGCAACTTACACCATCTTCACTGCCCGGTTCCGTCTTCGCGTCTCCTGTAAAAAAAATAATTTTTATGTTGTGACCTTTTTTTAAAAAAAAAGATATGAATGCATGGTCACCCGTTCACACTCGAGATCTAATTCCCAAGCATTCAAAACGAATTTTCTATGTGCAGTTAAAAGTGGTACATCTTCAGCCTCTAACCTATGAGCGTTACGTCAATGCTCCCTCTCGTTCACCGCCTCGCTGGACTAAAATGTCCTCAGAAAGATGTATACATACATTCAATAAATTAAATAAATACATTTTAAAAAACCAAACCATTATCTACATCAACATTAACACTTGGTGAATTAGCGAATCTAGTGTGGGTGCTCAAAATGTTCACCGTCAACTTCGTGGCAGCGGGGAGCAATTGACTCACAGGCGGCCACCAAGTTGCTGTTGTGTACACATTTTTGGGGGCATCTTGCGTGTAATAGGCCTACATCTTTAGCGAACACTTCTCCCTCCCCATACAAAAATGTTAGTAATGTAAGTGGAAGCATAAATACTGTGTGAGTGAAAAAAGTTACAGCTTATACACCTCACATTAAAAGGTTACATGCATAAGAATCCATCGTATACTTAGCACAGTCCATAATCGTATTCCCAATCATCTCAGTAATGTAACTTCGTGTAGCAAGGAGGCACGACTGTATTTCAATGTGATCACGTTTAAATGAAAAACTTGTCAACTTCTTTCCCCCAATTACGGAAGCTACGGTATAATAGACGCCTATGTTCTTGTTCGCTCACTTAATCGTATTCAATTAATAGTCTATTACAGTATTCCGTGTCATAATGAAACAAACAATAATAATAATAACAATAATAATACCGTAATAGTAAGAAGGATGTGATGAAAACAAAGCACAGGACACTGCAATTTCCATTAAGAAGTAAGATTTTTAAAAAAAGAAACTAAGCGATAGAAAGAAATACACAGGCCGGTGTAGATTTGAAAAGATGATTATTAAGACAGTTCGATTAAGGTATAACCAGCACAAACCCACACTCTTCGATATATCGCCTTCAAGAAATACAATTCGAGATATTTTGTTCCATACAAAAATCTGTTTCCCTGGGCAAAGCAATACACAAAACTGTTTTCTTTTGCAAATGAAACAGGCAACTCTCGATTTACTGGGACCTGTTCATATACGTTCTTGGCAGATGATCCAGAAGTGGTTTGCCATTGCCTTCTTCTGTGTGTGAATGGAGTAATTGTTGGGATGCCACGGAGAAACCGGGAAAGCCCCCGGAGGAAAACTCCGTGTTGCCTAGACCACGGCCTTGCCCAACACAAGTTATAAATTCGGGCACGGCCGGGAATCGAACCCGAGACCCCAGGATTGCAAGGCCAGCGTTATAACCGCTAGACCACCAATATTTATTATTTTAACTATAAAACTATTCGTCTTTCCATTTTTTCAATTATAAATTGCTAATTTTTTCTCCTATTTACATAAACTTTAAATAAGTATTTTGCTATGATACAACCTCATATGCGTTCATTAGAATCTCACTACACTTTTCCATGTTTTACAGCTTTATCTCTTTCCATAATCCAAACTTAAGGCTCTAAAATATTTCATCGAATTACATAAGCTCAAATGTGTAAAATATAAACCTTTATACGTTTATAATTCCTGTTTGTACGTAATCCAGATTTACAATTCGTCTTACGTTTCCTCCGTAACTATTACGCCACATAATTCAAAGATAACCTGAGGAACTGAAGAAAGCGCCATTAAACAAATACTGTATCATCTTCGTAGAATTTGAGGTTTTCACGGCTCTGAGTTCGAAGATGGCTGTCTTCTGGAGATCATAACCCTGATGATGGAGGTAGCAAGGACCTCCGAAAGTTAGGTAACTTCTACCAGACTACACGGCGCCACAAACCACAAGATAACCATCTACAGTATCATTATAAACGATCAGAGGTTCTGACTCGATTCATTGCATAATTATACTTTTCCCTGGCACATTAGACATATCAGGTGCTGGAGTAACGGCGAAAACCTGTCCAGCCACTCCAGCACGGTCCAGAAAAAAAGTGACGACCCGATTCCCCTGGCTACAGTGTCCATTATCTGTCCGGTCGCTTCAAAACGAACGAAGGCAGAATGCGGCTCGCAATACGTCAATAAATGTCAATAGATTATTATATCATGTCGCATTTTATACTCGTTTGTTATTATGTCGTCTCTTCTCCCGACCCTATGTTTGATATGTCTGTCCAGCCCTTCTGGATCTCTGTCACTTCTGTTTCAAACATCTGACCTGACACCGAAAATCTGAACATGCAACACGACTACTTTTAGCACAACGCAACATGACTTACTACACCAAATGTTGCGAAATGATTCAGTGGTTTTTTTTTGTATAACGCCACATTTTCCATAAAACAAAATGCGATGAAATTATTATAGTTCATTATTTTCATCATGCATCTGCAGTGACGGCCACGGTATGTCACAAATTGCGCCAAGAAGTAGCCTATCTATCCGCACTGCATGGTTCATATTACTTAGATCAGACATGTCAAACTCGAGATGTTTTACGTGACCCGATTGAGTTATAGAATTATAACCTGAATGAATTAGGGTACGAACCTATACCTCATCCACCGTAATCTCCGGACTTGGCCCCAATCGACTACCACTTCATTAAGCATCTTGACAACTTTTTGCTAGAAAAAATCTTCAACAACCAAGGCGCTGCTGAAAACGCCTTCAAGCAATTCGTCGACTCCAGAACTTTGGAATTTTATGGAAATAGAATTTATAAACTTGTTACTTGTTGGCAAAAATGTATTGATTCTGATGGTTCTTATTTCGATTAATATATTATATTGTAAGCTGAGATATGTTTCATTAAAGGTAAGGTTCAAAATCCGACATTTTATATTGAACAATCTAATATATAAGGAACATGATGTTCGGCCGAAAATGTCCCAGTTTTAATTATTAAATTTCAAATGCTTGTCAAATAGATACTTGTAGACCACTCTTTTATATTTTAATTAAATAAGCCTTAAGTGAAAATGTTTTTTTCAATATAACCCATATTCATGTGTGCCTGTTGGAAAATACAGAAACGAAAGACATATCCTAAGCTTGAGCTTGGAATCAGTAAAAGTAGGCGGTTAAGATTTTATGCACGCATGTATCGGATCCCGAAACAATAGCCCCTTTTTGAGCTGCCCTTAATAAACAGAGAGTTCTACGATAGTGAAATTATTATAATTATTATTGCTGTTTTAACTGTTCTGTTGTTGGATTATCCTGGTCTGTTTGACACTAACTCAATGAATCTCTACAGATTTTGACAATGCTTGAATCTTGTAAATTCTACTCGGGCTACCATCTTCGTCCTCAGGATCATGAGGACGGGGGCGAAGATGGTCCTCGTAATGTTGGTGTTTTCTTCATTAAGCCACCTTACAAGGCTGGTAGCCCGATAAGAATTTATTACTTATTCGCCGTGGAAGCTTCAGATCATACAATGCTTGAATCATTATACGAATATTATTTTGGACACTGTCTATTCTCCGAGGTATGAATGATTGTCTGGCAATTAGCTCTACTCCCGTGTACACGTAATAATGTCATATTCTTATATCAGTGGTAACAGCTTGGGTTCAAACCGGGACCTTTTGTATGTCTCGTCTTGGGTTCAATCCTGTCTCGACTAATACAGAAATAAAACCTAGATCAGTCAATATAAAGGTACCCATTCCCCTGAAGACAGTAACGAGTCAAACGCCGAAACGTCGTGTATCCTACATCAAATATAACTCAGGCAATATATCAAAGTCCAACACGATAATCGTGTTACTATATTAAATCTCCATGATAGCGTATCCTTGATTCTCCATAAACGTATTGTCCCAGCTCAAACTACTGCCATTCACACAAATACAGTAATCGTAAAAGTCCTATTTTTCTCGTTTATGGGTACCTTATATGAAAACAAAAAACCCCACAAAACTTACCGCCACAAAAGATAAGAGTGACTTCGTTTAGTTTCTGAAGTTACCTCCATCCGATCATGTAGCGGTGACATTTTCTGGTTCGAAGATTATAAACCTTGAATGAATCTAAAATTCCTAATTAGACCAATATATTTTAATTACAGTAACAGAAAACGTAATAAATTATGGAATGGCTAATTCCGCTATTTTAACGACATCGACCACATAGGTATGAGGTTTAAATCAACTTTAACAGCCTTGCAATCCCTACAGCTCCCTGCGTCGGCTAATTGCCTACGCAATAACGTGTTCGACTTGATTGCATCAAGGCCCTGAACCTGATGGTAAAACCGGGATTTCGCACTATTTATCTAGCCACATCAGTAAAGTGTTGCTATGCAGAGGATCACACTTAACTACATCAGTAACTGCCCACCAGTTACCAAATGCCACTACTCAAAGCCAAAAAAATAATGGCGATTGTGTTAAGAGTTTGACAAGGCAATCACACAATAGTAAGATATAAAGTAAAGTAAAGTTTGTCCGGCTACGTGCCATACAGGCGTTTGGGGTGAGTGGAGGTATAGCTCCTCTCTTTCTTGACCTCGGCACTAGACGGGAGTGAGTGGTCAGCATCACGCCCCAGGCCGGCTTTACCCCCGGGAAAGGACCCCCGGTACCCATTGGATAGGAGGCTGGGTGGGCCCCAGAGGCTAGAGTAAAAATCATCTGCCCCCGTCGGGGATGGAACCCCGGTCGTCCAGCACGTAGCTAGTCACTATACTGACGGAGCTATCCCGGCTCATAATAGTAGGATATAGTACTAGAAAATTACCATACAATAATGACAGAAATAACTCAAGTAGTACAAACGACACATGTACTTCGATATGTATTGTAGACTATGCATTGCATTTATTGATCAGTTTGTAATACATACAAAGTCAAGGCCCTCTGAAGATATAAAATTGTGTTTAAACTATATGTTAATGAATTTCGGTTAAAGTTATGGAAAGCATATACATTACATCG